CAAAACAAATAAATAAAATCCTGGGGATATATTTAAGTAGTAGGACACTATGAGTTCTAGATCCACTTTTGAAATACAAAAAAGTATGGAGTGGTTGTACTTTAAAAAGGAAGTGCTCAGGACTGGCAGAATAGCTCAGTGGACTAAGCACCTGCTCAGGCAAGCTCAAGAACCAGGGTTTAATTCCCAGTACCAGAAGCCTTGCTGGCCCCACCCCCGGCTATGCTGAGCCGGCCACCCAGGCCGACACCACAAGGGAGGCTGAAAACAGGAACATCACTACGAGTCCAAGTTTCATAATGAGACCCTGTAACAAATACATTTAAAAAAAGAATAAATAAAAAATAAAAAGAGAAAAAGAAAGTGCTCCTTTAATTATAAGTAACTTCAGAATTTAGAGTAACAATTTTATCTAACATCTTGATATTAATTCTGATGATTTAAAATTAATACAGTATATTTTAATGTAGTACAACTTCTCATTAAAGAAAAATTTTAAGAGAGAAAAGTTTATTGGGGAATGGGAATGGGGGATGGAGAGCTGAAATAGCTCCTGAGATAGAGAAGGGGTCTCAAGTACAATGTTGATGAGTCCATATTTCAAAGGAAATTTTAGATAGTAAAATCATGAGAAGGGTAGAATGTGGGTCCAAATTACAAAGAACCATTAAGATTGAAAGTATAGTTTATTAGGTAATATTGAATCTGTTTTAATTAGCATTATACAATTCTGAAAATCTATGGTACATATAATTAGATAGGAAAACAGACTTTCATAATTTTTATGAATAGACTTTGGTCAACCTAACCTATTCCACATCACAGCTTAGCAAAACAGAATCTTGTGACCACAAGGTGATTCTCCTCATGATCCTGTGGCTTACTTCCCTGGCTTAGTATGGAGAAACAACATAACACATTTCACTAGTCCAGGAGAAAAGTCAAAGTTCCTATTTCGCAGTGTTGTTTCTACTGAATGAGTATAATTTTCGCAATGAGCTGAAAAAGTATGAGCAAAACCTGTCTGATGACTTTGTAGAATTGATTTAATGATGACATGAGATACCACACATAAAATCATAGAGTTAGCATGACAGCTACATATACTTGACATTCAATAGTTCTGCTTCTCCTTTCTCCTATCCTCAAATTATTTCACATATAAAAATTTAATACACTGTAATACATTTGGTCGTTTTGGAGAAAGGATAGTAGGGTACAATTTTTAAAGGCAGAGAAAGTTCTTCTCTTCTTACCTGATGATAAAGAGCTTCAGGGTAATCCTGAGCCATTAATCGAAATAGGGCAAGGAAGGCCCACCCAAAATTATCAAAATTTGAGGATCCATGATCAGGGTTTTTGCCAGCTTTTACACACAAATATCCTTCAGGACACTGACTAAAGACAAAGAAAAGGAAAAAAAGAACTGCTTAGGTGGCTTTCAGATTATAGCCCAATCATAAATGTGGAATATATTCTATACTTGAATAACAGGGGAGTCCTTATGCCACAGGATGGAGTTAGTCTTCTCTCCAAAATCTTATAGTGAAAATGGTGCAATCAGTTAGATTTTAGGTTGATGCACATGGATAATATTAATTAAGCTAAAACAAAACGGAACCATATAGATAGGTTTTCTAAGACTTTATATTTTTTCACTGATTTATGTTTTAATTGACAAATAAAAATTGCATATATTTGTTGTGTGTAACATGGCCTTTCAAAGATTCACATACGGTGTCAAATGGTTAAGTTGGTTTAATTAATGTATTCAACACCCAACATACTTATTGTGTATGTGATGAAAACACTTATCTTATACTACTTTGGCAATTTTCAAAAAAAATATTGTTACTAATCATAGCATTGATTTTTAAATTCAGAAGCTACAGTAAAGATACAATTATAGGAATATAGTATTGGTAAAAATAAAACTATAATAATGGAAACTTTAATTTTCATATGATTTTTCCTCAGACCCTTAGATTCCATTATTTAAAAGCGACAAAACATTTAGTATATCAATAATTAAGAAGCAGAACTTGTACTTGGGGAAAAAGAGCAAATTAAATATTTATTTCCTTTCAGGGAATTGTCATCTTTTACCTAGTGAAGCACATGGGTGTTGTAGCCTATTATTACAGCAGTAAGAATCTGAGTATATGAGTTTTTGTTCTTATATTAATGTGATAATTTGAGGGGAGTATTTTATCATACAGCAATATATGATTGTTACAGGTAAAACAATGCATGACTTTTTCTTTTTGCTTTAAAATGTATCATTGTATTCTGAAGAATCGCCAAATGAATAAGGGGAAAAGAATAGAAGCTCAGCAACAGCTGGATAAAAAAAAATTCATGACATGTAAGTGATGCAATACAACTATACTACTCATGATATACTTTCTTGATGTACATTTTTACAATCTGATCTCATTTGTAAAAATGAGCTGATCTTATGGATGCATTTTAAGTCATCCTAGCTAAGCAAAGCAACATAAGAAAAATACATTTTAAGGGTCACAGTGGTGAGTGTTCGAGTGTCCTGTTTCTACTTATTTATTTACCATTCTTAAATTATACAACAGTAAGACATGAAAGTTTTTATTTTCTCACTGAATAATTATGTATAAGTAGTGCTTCAAAAGAATTTAAAAAGATTTAAATTCCACAAATACATGAAATAATGGCATGTCTTTAATATTCCTCTTCAAAAAAAGAAAATAAATGTGTGTGTGTGTGTGTGTGTGTTTCATAATTGTCACAAATGCTGAGATGCACATAAAACAAATAGATTCTTTCTGAATTCTCAGCTCTTGGATTTACTAGTTTCTTGACCTTGAACCAATCTCCTTTGTCTTAATTTGTCTGAATTAATATTATTGCATGTTTGGACTTTGGCTCCAGTGAGAATTTATGTGGTTCAATTCTGAAGCCTAAGATGCTAATTAAGAGGTGGAGCTGTTGGGAAGTGATCCCATCAGGAAGCAAGGCCTCACGAGTGTGACCAGTACCCTTAAAATGAGACTGAGAGGAGGCTCAGTAGCCTTTCTGTCTTATAAGAACATAACAAGCAAACCCCTTCTCAGAACCAAAGGCAAGCTCTCACAAAATAACAAATATGCAGGTTGCTTGATCTGAACTTGAGTCTCCTACACTGGGAGAAATAAATTTAGTGATTTATAAGACATGAAGTCTATGTTATTTTATTGTTTTACCTATATATAAACTAGGACAACTTCTCTGCATTTTTCTAAAAGTTATTTTGTTGGTCTATTTCTTTTTTTCTTTTGTGATGCCCAAGACTGAACCTAGACCTCATGCTTGCTAGGCTGAAGTCCTAATCCTGAGCTATGTCCTTAGCACTCAGCATGCTATTGACAATACAGTGAGAAAAAAATATTCAAATCAACATGGAATGCAGTAGAAAAAGGAATAATCATTCAATAAGTACTACTGTTGGATGACTCTACATTGATGGAAGAAAACGTCAGTACTACCCACCTTGCATCCGTTCTGTTGCCACAAAGTAGAGCATCTGCTTCTCCTTCCAAATAATAAAAATTTTCTGTTTCTGAAAAATAGGGAAGAAATGAAGTTCTGTATTTAATGTTAATTTAGCAGCACACAGCAAGTTCATTTTGATTGGCATAGAAGATGAACATTTCTGTACACTGTATGATGCATGACAGGTCACTGAAGATGAAGCTTAGGATAAACAAAGAAGAGGATGTTTTACTTTACACATTCTCAAATTGTTGTGCAATACATGGTGGCAAACTGCTGGGAACAGAACAATCCTGCTTGTTTTCTCAGAACTGTCTTTAGAGACCAAAGTAGGAAGTCTTGTGTACTTTAATAAAGTCTTAAGAGAACTGCAGTATGTAATTGATCCAGATCTCATAATTTAGAGGGCTTATTGTACGTTGCCCTTTGCCAATGGTTTGTACTTTCTAAGCCTCTCAATAAATATCCCTGTGCTTGCTCAATGCAAGGCTTGGATAGACAAAACTTCTGATATACCTGTGGCTGATTATATCCAACCTTGCTGTTCTTTTCATGGCTCTCATCGAGGTGCAACATCTGGATAGCTAAGATGACTAAATATCCAAGGCTTTTAAACCTACCATCTCTACACAAGTCAAGAGACCACCTAGGCTCTACTTGAAGAGTCTGCCTGGTTTGAAACCAGTAGTGAAACTTGGGCCAGAAGCACAAGTAGAAAACATCCTTGGTCTGTGATAGAACAATAGCATTAACCCTACCCTATGACCAGGATATATGAGAAGTCAGTGGTGTGCAAGAGGAAGCTGTGCAAGGCCTGGAAGGAGCCAAGTGTGCACTTCAATATTCCTTCACTTTCTATTTCATTCTTTCTCTTCTGCACTCTACCCTAGTTTCCCAAAACTTGGGTGAACATTCTTGGACTTTTACTCTTCCTTCTACTGCTTCTCCTCATTAATCTCTATTATTTCCCTTATATCTCTTACCCTCTATACTGGGTAAAATCTCTTTACTATGGAGAATTTCATGTAAATTCTGGTATAGGCTGGATTTTGTGATACACCTATAAAGCTTTCTCCTATGATCAAAAGTATCCAATTAATAGTTAACATAGTTTGTCAGGTACTAGGCTGTGCTTGATGCCATTGTTACTGTTAATTATACTACCTCAGTCTGAATGATATCCATATTGCAATCAGTTTTTCACCCTCAAATGACAACACTGATTTTTGGGAGTTAGAAACATCAGCTTAGTCCAGTAACAAAAGACTGGGTGTTGAGCCATATTGATATCACACTCTTATCATTAATAAATTGTGAAAGAAGATTCATGGGATAGACATTGTTATTGTGTGTGCCTAGATGTTCACCCAAAGCCTCAAGTAGTCATTGGGTGGGCTTCTAGAGTTTGTGCATAATTGATAATCCAGTGCTGGAATTATGAGTATGAGTGCTTCTGGGATAATAGGTATGAGTGCTATGTCCACCCTGGGGTGACTATCCTGAATGAAATATAAGGAAGGGAGAGAAGCTTGCTCTCCAGCCACTGGTCCTCCCTTTTTGCTCTTGCTTTCTGTGCTGTTTTTCACCACCATGAACTATTGCCCTCTGCCATGTGTCACTCTGCCTTAGAGCCAGCTGATTATGGACTGAAACCTCCACAAGCTGCATGTTAAATAAATATTTCTTTCTTAATTTTGGGTGTCTGGTATTTTGTCTCAGCAATGAGAGAAAAGTAACTAAGACAGACACAAAACCAAGAACTACCTCCGTTTAGAAGACATAACTGAAGAGTAGCATAGAAAAGCCTTGCTAATATTGTAAAGCTATCTACCATGGGATATCTACAAGAATCAACACAGAAGATAAAATAGAAAATGACAAAATACGGAGCAAAATACAACCTAAGAACTCCAGTTCACCCACAACAAGTTCAGAGTACAGTGACATTGGGGAAATTGGAAGACATCCATGAAAATTCCTGAAAGAGAACTTCCACCATGATCTCCAGACCCCTCCAGACTTGGCCAAGTACACTGCAATTACTACATGAAAACAAGCCCTGCCTTGTGTGGGAGAACTTCTGTTCTCCCCTGAACCCGCTGGGTCTCTCCAGACCAAGCCCAGGCCTGCCGCATGAGTGAGATCTCTTGCCATGCTCTTGGGACCCCTCCACCCATACAGAGCCAGCCCAAGCCTGCCTTGTGAGTGAGAACATCCGCCATGCTCTTGAGACCCCCACCCCCAGGCCTGGTGAGTATGTGGGAGAGCATCTGTGCTCTCTTATGTCCCCTGAACCCTTCCAGACCTATCCCAGGCCAGACATACAGGCCTGGAGTAAAACTCTACAGCTGAAGTCCCTGCAGAGAGACTAGGAGCCAAAACCAACCAACTAATCCAGGAGTAGACTATCTTGCCAGAGAGGCACAACAAGTTCACCTCCAAGGGCTGTAGCAGGAAAGAGCTGAGCACAGTAGCCAGACACAAACCAGGCACAACTGGATGAACTCAAACTTAGTAGACCTGCACCTGAACTTTAAGAGGTGTTAAGGTTATAACTGCACCAGGGCTCTATACAAAAATTCAGAGGACAATGCTAAACAAAATGACAATAAGAAAGAGCAAAATTCAATCGTAGTCTTGAGTCCACCCAGAACAAGTGCAGAGGATACTAGCACAGCTGAATTGTCTGAATTAATAGCATCTTAAGTAAAGAAATAACAGCAGAAAGATATAGAGGAACTCAGGTCAGAATTAATCTCTGAAATAAAAAAATGTCTGAAATAATAGCTTCTGAAGTATAGAATCAAATGCAGAAACATATAGAGGAAATCAGACTAGAAATAATCTCTGAAGTAAAAGAATTAATAACTGCTTCTCAAAAAGACACTGATAAAAAATAGAGAATACAAAAGGGACAGATTCCTTCATGAGTAATACAGGAAAAGAAATAGGTCGCATGAAGCAGAGTCAAAGAGACATAGAGGAACTTAAAATTTCAATCACAAGCTTGCAAAACCGTTTGAGTGAAAGTGAAGATAGAGTTTCAGATGTTGAAGAGGGCTTCGTAGCTAGTGAAAAGGTAAGAAATGATCTCTTAAAAACAACTAGGATGCAGAAAAAATAATTCATCACTTGCAAGATGATGCAAAGATGAACAACGTGAGAATAGCAGGCATCAGTGAGAAAGAAGGGGTCAATACAAATGATGCAAAAAAGAATACAGGCAGAAGTAATAGTAGAAAACTTCCCAAATATGAGGAAACAATCTGACATTGAGTTAACTGAAGCATGCAGAACTCCAAATAATTTAAAACATACCGAGACATATAATAGTTAAGATACCAGAAATCTGCAAAAGAAAAATATACTGAAAGCCGCTAGAGAAAAGAAGCATATCACTTAAAGAAAAACCCATCAGAATAATGGCAGAGTTGTCTTCACAAACCATGAAGGCAAGAAGAGCAAGAAGCAGAGTACTTCAAATTCTCTATGAAAACAAATTCCAGCCCAGACTATTATACGCTGCAAAATTCTCTTTCAAGTTTGATGGAGAAGTGAAATACTTCCATGACAAAGAACAACTAAAGAATTTCATAATGAAAAAACCAACCCTACACAGACTACTAAAAGATGTTCTAGAAAGGGACCAAAATGATCAGAACTCCACGAACAAGAAGAGAAGGAACCCACTAAGTAGGGCAAACAAACACAGGAGAAAAAGGAGTAAACAACAGCAAGTAAATAACATATCAATTGTAAATCAATACACCTCAATTATAATCATCAATGTAAATGTACTCAATTCACCAATTAAAATAAATAGACTGGCACAGTGGATTAGGAAACGAAATCCAACAATATGCTGTATACAAGAAACACACTTAACTTATAAAGAAATTCATAGTCTGAAAGACAAAGGATGGAAAACAATACTATACACCCCAGCACCTCAGAAAAAAGCAGGGGTAGCAATCTTGTTCTCAGACAGTTTCAATTTCAAACCAAGAATGATCAAAAGAAGTAAAGAAGGCCACTACATACTGGATAGGGGAAAAATTCAAGAGGAAGTGGTAAAAGTCATAAATGTATACGCACCCAACATGGGAGCACCCAACTATATAAGACAAATCTTAATAGACATGAAAAATCAAATATCCAATACCACAATCTTAACAGGAGACCTTAACACCCCTTTACCCCAAAAATATAGTTCAACCAGACAAAAAATTAGCAGAACTGAACCAGAGCTCGGAACAAATGGACTTAGTGAACATATACAGAGTGTTCCACCCAAAGACAGCTGAATATACATTTTTTTACCTGCACATGGGTCATTTATTAAACTGGACCACATACTGGTCCATAGGTCATGCTTAAGTATATGCAAGAAAACAGAAATTATCCCATACATATGATCTGACCACAGTGCAATGAAACTGAAAATAAATGAGACAAGAAAACAGAAAAAAACCATAAATACAGGGAAATTAAACAACACCCTGTTCAGTAACCAATTGGTCACAGATGAAATTAAATAAGAAATTCAACAATATTTATAATTCAATGAAAATTCAAGCACAAGTCATTAGAATTTATGGAATGCGATGAAAGCAGTTCTCAGAGAGAAATTTATAGCTGTGAACTCACACATTTGGAAAACAGAACAGGAACAAATAAACATCCTAATGATGCACCTCCAACATCTAAAAAAGGAAGACTAAACCAAACACAGAGCCCAAAGAAGGGAAGTAATCATAAAAGTTAGAGCAGAAAATAATTCAAGTGCAATGAAGAAAACAGTTCAAAGAATTAATGAATCAAAAAGCTGGTTCTTTGAAAGATTAAATAAAGTTGATAAGCCCCTAGGTAACATCATCAAAAAGAAGAAAGAAAAAATTCAAATACAAGTAGCAATAAGGAAAGAAATTGGTGTACCTACCACAGACCCAGTGGAAATTCAGAAGATTGTCTATTGCTACTTTGATAAACTTTATTCTCACACAATAGAAGACATAGAAGAAATGACCAGATTCCTAGAAAGGTACAAATTATCAAAACTGAATTAAG